CGACCTATTTGACGATACCAGTTTGGGACAGGCCTAGTCAATAATCCTTCAAAAAAGACACTTTTCCCCATCTGGCGCTTGGTCCCTCGTGAACGCGGTCTTCACAGAGGTCTTCCAGCTGCGTGCTCGGTCCTCGTCTTGGTCTTTACCATGAAACTCCTTGAGATCTGAGGTCGCTGAGAGATTGATACGAGGGACCGTTGGGCACTTATCTCAGAGTGGAATTGGCCATTCTCGCCAGAGGTCCATCGAGGTCTATGTCATCTGGGTCGTATTCGCATGAACCGATCGTTTCCATTTCCACGTCGGCCATCCCTTGGTCTCTTGCAACTTGCATACCTTCACTTAGGCCCAGCTGAGACGTTGACCTCTGCGCCTTCTGCCGTCCTCTGGCCGTACTTCCATCGATGTGTGTTTATGGTACTTAGCGTTCTTGTAAAAATTTTGCCATCGCCGCGTCAAAGTATGCCTGCAAATTACCTACCGGATTGGTAGGCGCTCATCCCCGGGAAGCTTCGTCACGTGACGAGGTATAATTCGGTACTAGTCCTGGATCATTTCTGATTTGTTGAAAAGTCGACCTATCAGAAGCCTGACTTGTCCTTGGCTGTACACGCGTTGCCTTTTTGTGAGCTCGCTGCTCGTCGTCCGCGCTCTTCGCTCAGGTCTGCAGCAGTGGCATGCCAATTGGTCCTAGTGGCATTCGGCTCACGTGACTAGCGACGGACAACCCTCGCGATGATTGCCTTGCAGGGACCTGAGGACCCTGAGGCAAGGTGGTCTGTGGTACACCTCGCATAGAACATGAGTTCTCGGTCGACCATTGCTCTCGAGGTTGGACCTCGATGTCTTGTTGGGTCATCTGGCTGTCGTCAGACGGTCCTTTTGCGACGGTCGCAGGAGGTGAGTCGAGTAGTACTGGGGTTATTCCCACAAGGACACCTTGACGTTTGATAGAATCTCTAACGTGGTCTTGATACTGTTCAACCCCAGAGAAAACAAGTCTTCAGGATTGAACCTTCCTGCGACCATACCCACCTCGCGACGAAGGGTCACGAGCGCGATAATCGCGACTGTCACCGTTCTCAGCTTGGGAAGGATCGATACAGGTCCGCTGAGCTGACCCAGCAGTCGGATCTAGAGGGCTCCGGTGACGGGGGGTCACTCTCCAGGAACGCTTAAAGCTTGAGTCGATGGTAGTTCATGGTCACTTCTGCATCCGACCAGGACAAGGGGCCTGAGGTCGAGGGGCCTACCGACTTGGTGTCATTTGGTGCTTTCATCCGGAGCTTGGTTGGCTTGGACATAGCGATCGTATTTTTTTGTATGTTCTTATTTTTTGGGGACAATCGTCTATCGGTTTGCACCTTCGACTGACTGTCCTCTGGGGCATGATAGATATCATGACGCAAGGTTTCCCCAACGAGGACATAGGGAGAGTATATCGGTTTCTCTATAAGTTCAACCTTGACCATATTGACCGGACCCCTCCCAAGGTCAGGTCGTTTCATCGATCCTTTGGTGTTTCCTTGTGTAGTCATTGGCGATCGGCCTACCAGTGACTCTTTGGTCTTTCCTCAATCTTTGCTTGAACACCTTCATCTTCTGGGAACTCGCGGTGATATCCCGCATCTTCAGACATTCCGGGCACGCACACCATTGTGGTGGAGTCGGTTCTCATAACTGCGTAATGAGACCCCAAGCCACTCACTGTGCCGGACTGCCGACTGTCGGAGGGGGTACCCCGATGCCGCGTATAGACCTTCTCTCACCTTGTGTACCCGGTGGCGGATTGCACTCTTCCGATGGCTTGGTTGAGATGTGATGTCGGCCTTGAGAGTGATCGATCTTGGGGTGCCTCGAGTGGGTATACTTTACTCGGTAAGCGGGCAGGTAGCCACTCGGTCGAATAGGTCGAGGGTGGACTTATAGTCAAATTCTTCAGGGGAGGCTCTCAACCGTGGCCTTTTCCTTCCTTTTCCTTGATATCTTAGATGTGATAACCGCCTGGCCTTTACTTGCTCCCGGACCACTAGTAGGGAGACCGCTTCCGATAGCGGGTCGATTTGGGGGTGCTACTCAGACGAACCCACAGGCCGAATGTATCCTGCAGTTCTATTCGCACTTGGGTCTTACCACACACTGTCTTCGACGGGGGCCAAAATGAATCCCTTTTCGGAACCGGCGGGTAGACTTAGTAGGTACCTTAGAAGCACGACGGAGGTGTGCTATATAGATCGCAAATTGAGAAGTATTTAATATGGTCCTATCTTTACACTTCCTTACTCTATCTTTTCCCCAAGACCTAACTCTTGATTCTGCTTGGCTAGGGTACTACGGCCGAGACCCCGGGAGGCCCAGGGCCAGAGGGGCCGAGGTCCATTGATGCGGGACCAATGTCGACCTTTAGAAACAGGGGCCGAAGTTCCACCGACCGAAGGGCCAAGGTCCTTTGATGCAGGACCAAGGTCAACCTTTAGGGACAGGAGCCGAAGGTCCGCCGACCGAAGGGCCAAGGTCTACCTTTGTGAAAAGAGAGGTCTATCAATGATAGACCGGGGTCCACTCTCGAGGAACCGCGGTTCATCAAGCTAACCGCGGTTAATCATCTGAATGGCGGCTAACTAGCACGCTTTGACCGCACATTCTTCTCATCCAACGGTCGTTTCTCATCCCTTTCTTAGCGTCCCGTCTCTCATTCCCTTACCCAACGGTCGCTCTTCCGTGGCGGGTCCCCTTCTCTTTGTCCCACCGGTCCTATGACCTGCCAATTCTTGACATGCTTCACCACAGATACGTAGAAATTCCTCTAAAAAGTTATCTTAAAAAACAATGGAAACTGTATTTCATGAGAAGGGAACGGTGGGTCGCGAACATGAAGCAAGGGGTAGGACGTCAAAAATTTTTGAAGGTGACCAACTTCAGCGCCCACACACTAATCTTGCATACCAAGATAGATATGTACTTGACAAAGGATCAAGTACCAGAGCACAAGGCTTCATTTCGGAGGGATCTTCAAAAAATACGCTGAGTAAATAATTCTGGCTTATGGATTCACCACTGATCAGGTCGACCTTCAGATGGACCCAACGGAAGAGGACGAGGAGCCAATAGTGGAGACAACGCTGTATCACATCCCGCAGGCATACTACAGCTTCCAAGGGTTTCTGCCCCAATGATCAACATGTCGCACCGACAAATTCTTGAGAAAGAAGCACAATCATGCGAAGAAAGGAGCGCCTACGGGAAAAATCCCTTAAGAATGAAGTGCGTCTGAGGTCACCCAACCTACAAACGCCACTGTCCGTGAGGAGGATGCCAAACTGGATTACTCACCGCTAGTAAATGATTAAGTGTGCACCATTGAAAGTGGAAGGATCTGAGCTTAAGAAGCAGGACCAAGGGTGGGAAATCATACCGGAGGTGGACTTATTATCCAAATGTATTGGGTTGTAGTACATACAGGTCCCTGACACGGATGGGAATACTCCCAAAAATGTGTACAGGCTGTGACAAATAATATGGAAAAGATGACATCTGTTGATGGGGAAGGTAACGCCTTACCAACGGCCGCTTGATGACATTTGTGTGGGGAATGCAAGGCCGATTGCGCAGCGCGTACGGATACTGTCCCCTCCATTCAGAGACAAGTTGGCCGACCTGATTAAGGGACTGTTATCCGCGAAGATCATCCAACCCTGTACCTCGCCATAGGCCATCCCGATTGTAATTATTTCGAAGAAGAATGGAGCGAATATCAGGCTGTGTATTGGCTATAGGTTAGTGAATGAATTGACTCGGCTTATAGTCTATCCTATGCCTCTAATTAACAAAATATTGAAGGATTTGGATGGGGTACTCTTAAGGCCAAGTTTAGGAAGCAGCTTTTTCAGCCACTACTGTTGTTCTTGCGACAGACCAATCGCGGACATAGCTTCAATGTCCATTCTCACAGGGGTAGTCACAGACCCAGATGCGGGACTGACTACAAGTGATACCAGGTGTAGCCAAGCTAATATACGCAGTAAGTGCAGAAGAATACAAGCTCTACGAGCCTTTCGTCTTTCTGGTTAGGCTAGCTTTACAAGCTGATCCTTTTTTTGGTTGTAACAACCACGTCTCCAAGAGGCCAGTATCAAAGATACAATTTCCTTCTTTCAAGGATTAGAACGCTGTAGCACGTGTGCTATTCAGAAAAGATTTAAAACTGATTTATTTAATGTTTAACTTCTAGCACTCAATGTAGAAGCACCTACTCTATACTTAGTGCTAGCACTATTTATTTGGCTCTGTAGCCTTCTAATATGTAAAGATACGTACTTGAAATACTTATGTATATAGACCAACGTGGCTCTCTGCCACGATGCAGTCTTTGTACTTTGCATCAACTCCTAGTGTACTTAATTTACAGCCACAACACAATGGTGCGGCAGGTGTGGATGTAAAATACACACCTGCGTAATTCCGTTACATATTCAGTGCTCAACATTAGCGTTCCGACCATCTTTTATTATTAGGCAGGTTCGATACAATGGGCTTGAATGTATTTTGAGCAATGCATTCGCTATCAATCACTCGACACTAACGGAAGAAGCATCGTGTGTATATGTGGTGATGATACTAAATTTTACATGTTACTCAATGCCAGCGTGGCTTTAGCTCGAGATGAATTATCTTGCTTACGTTCGTTTTAAATGTTCCATTCGTTACGACTAAGATCGATATAATATAAGCAAGTACGTCTCATAACATGCGAGAAAGGCACATTTATTAAGAAATTGACATTTAAGGATACGGAAGCGTCGTGTTATGATTCTCTTGTCGATTGTGCAAACAACACGAAATGGGGCATCTCGGGATACTGTCCTCTCAAATGTTCCATTCGTTACGACAAAGATTAGCATAAAATGCGTCATTCATTATTTTTTTGTTGACTGTACAAATTCATCGGCAAGTAGCCAACGTATTAGCATGTTTCGATCGTGTGGCATCCATTCACAATGGAGCATTTTGTGGACTGGAAACGTCAACATAGCTACGCTAAGACAGTGTGGGGTCTCCTTTCGATGACAAACATACTCATACTACGAAGCAGAAAACGCTGGACGATGAGCAGCCACTTGTGTACCGTAATGACGAGTCTGTAGAGTGTGCTCACCCGCCGCCGCTATTGATGCAAAAGCCGGTAGCTGCCTGGGCACTAGGAGGCCTTGGTGTACTGTTTCTTTTGGTGGTAGGTCTAGTGGTCCGAGGTGGCACTATGCACGGCGTTCTGAGTGTGACTCACTTGACTGCAAAGACAAACACGTGGATGGAAATGTTACCCAGTGAGGTTTGAGTGATGAAACAGTGGGCCCGTGCCAAAGCCTCTACAATTTTAGTTGCAGCTCATGGATGAAGACAGCAAAGATTCCGGAAGACGAAGCTGTGATCTTGTCGTTTTTTGCTATTAAGCTGACGTTGAAAAGGCATTGCTTGAGGTAATGAACCTAGGCCGGCCGCTGATAGGCGATTTGTACGAGTCGTGTATGAACTTTAACAACACAAAAATCTCGACGGCGAATGACGTGTCGATGAGTGTCTTGTTGCCGTTGATAGAGCAGTTGCTGTGACGAAGACGAAAATGAAGTTGTTTCAAATGGCAGGAGCATTATGCATGAAGGAGTCAAGCTTCGTAATCATTCTTGATTCTGATTCGGATGATGAAGAATGCATCGCCGGATGGGCTTACATTGAACGTTGCTGAGTTTTATTTGAATAGTTGAGTGGTTGAACGACGCGTTCCATGCGTATGTGATGAAATTGTTACTATTGATTGGAGTGGAGTCGCATGAAGCAGCATCAAATGCCTCAGCAGTGATTGCCTTTGAAAAAACTGTTACAGCCTTTCTGTAGCGAAAGATGAGCCTGGAATTTCTGCAGCATTGAACAACCGTATAAGCGTGACCCAAGCTACTTCTATGCATCCGTTGCTTATTTCACAGTTCTTGGATGGCGCAGGTTTGCTTCAAAACCTCACAGGTCAGAAGGCTGAAATGTACTTTACTTTATAATCCCAAATTTTGCAACCTTCTGTGGCTGGAGATTATGTTACTTTGGATATACCAAAAACTGTGCTGACGTACCGGCAAATTTTGCCTTACGCAGAGTCCCTCAATGAGCCTTTTGCTCAGACAAGCTTCTCCTTTTTCCGTCAGTTTCTCAGCGGTCAGAAGAAACGCATCTCGCGATAGAAGTTTTGCCTTGACAAAGTTACCGAAAATTGTCCTGATTTGGCCGGCAATTACGTTGCGCGTCTTGGCTTCGGTAACACTACTGCACAACTGGCATCAACTTGTAGCACAAATTCAAACGTCGATGCAGAAGAACATTGAGCAGGTTGATTGGATGGACGAATTCACTCGTCAGGCAGCTCTAAGAAGTTATGCACCCTGACCAGTATTAGCGGGCGTTCGACTTACGTTAGACAATTTTCGTTTAAATTACGCAGTGACGCACTGATAGCATATAACTTGGACATCATCTACAGGGATGTGCTGCTCAACTTTGAACCGAATTGGTATGAAAAGGGACCCCAATGTATCATCAATACCAATAGCTGAAGTGAACGGGTTTTGTGTGGATACAACAAATTAGATGGTATTTATTACTGCTGCTATTCTACAGCCGCCACTTTTAATAACTGGACGCTATCCCGTGCAAACCTTATAGCTATGGGTACCTTTATCGGCGGGACAGGGACAAAAGCGAGGACAAGCTCACTGAGCGAGAACATGCATCGCAGTGGAAGCCGAAGGGTGTGAAGAGGAACGGGATCGCGTATCCCTTTGCAGAAGTGTGAGCTATGATAGATCCTGTGCTTAATTACAATACAATTGTTCTGCAAATCTTGTTGGTGTACTGTTTTCGACGGAGAAAAGGTGAGCTACTAATCAAGTACGTTAGTCTTTGTTTTAGCGTCATCATTGTCTACAGCTTCTCCACCAAGCTTAAAGCAGCACTATTCCGCAATTTTTGACGGAGGCTGCGGTCATCCCAACCCCAATACCTTGTCCTAGAAACGAACAAGATTCGATTGAAATTGTTGAGTTAGATGTAGAAACTCGCAGACTAGATGTAGCAAACACAGTAGGTAAGTCGTGCCCTCAGCTTCGTAGACGCGCATGTTGTGATGATAACGTTACAGTAGAAGAAAACAGATTCTAATCCTACTAGACTCACGGTCACAAAACGTGTCATGAATCATAGGAATGCTTCGAAGCTAATTAGTTAAACAATTTAGCCCAAACATGTGCATACTTTACGTGTCGTGCACGACGTCAATTCGGAAAATGGCATAAAAGTAACTACCTTATTAGTTAAGTGGCTTCAAGAAGTTTCTTATCAATTTTTGCATATAAAAAGAAAGCGCATTAGTGATGAACCCATTATGAAACAAATGGGTACAAACTGGATTTCCCACTAGAAAAAAAAACAATAGTGCTCTATTTTGTCCAAAGTACGACCAAAGACTATATAACAGTTAAGTCAAGTACTGATTTCAAAAACCTACCTATTAAAACCGGGATCTGATTTTTTTTCTTTGGACATCCATCCAGAAGCTATGATCGTCGTTTATTTTCTAAAAAGGACGAGACTAGAATGATACCGTCGCCTCTTATTCTCCTTGTGCTTTCGGTCTCTCCTGCCTTATGCTTAAATATCAAAGTATACCATCATCATCACAGGAAATTCCGCGAAGTGACAGTCATCCCGGACAACGCGATGTGCCCTAACAGTGGAAATGTGCTTCTGTGCCAGAGCGCATCGTATGCGTGCCAGGACGACGGCGCTGGTGCGCAAAAGTGTCTACCCCGTGATGACTCCTTCTTGGACTCGGTGGACGAGTCGACGACGATGCCATGGGCTAGCTGTAGCCTTTCAAATGCCAAGTTGCCGTCCAAGTGCCTCTTTGACTTTCAGTGTAATTGCATGGATTATGCCAATGTCAACTGCTATTGTAGTCCATCCGATGCTTGGAGAACGGGACGCAAAAAGGCTGAAAATTGTACGACCTCTAGTGGTGAAGTGGGTGTCTGTGACGTAGGCAAGTACTGTCGCACCAAGGACCACTACCAGGAGTGTGCTGTGGCACCCTACCTTCCCCGTAGCACATCGCTCTACAGTGACTGCACGAACGACAATGAGTGCGACGCAGGTTTGACTTGTAAAGACTATGACAATTTTGCCATCTGCGTGAACGGCAAATGAAAGGAGACAAGTGTAGAAGTTGAAATGGATTCGATGTCCACAGTAGACATTACGGTAGTACTGATACTACACGAGACATTAGTACAGTAACACGGAAGTTACTTGCCTAGCTGTTCCTGATCGTTCATTAAGTTTTCAATACTACAACACCTCCTTTTGTATCCAGTACTATTTTCGGCTTTTCTACTATTGTTACTGCACGTTAAAATCCGTGAAGAGTTCACTAGTAACTGACTAAATCTAAAGATTGAGCTATCTGCACTTCTTGGCACTTTTATCCAGTCAATTGAAGATATTCATACTATACTCGTGGCTAAGACATAATGTAATGTAAAGATGTATAATGTTCAATGCTGTAGAATACTGACTGATGACGAATATGATGGAAATATGTACCAACAAGAACTTTGTCTGCAGGATGAGCCTGGTGAAGAGGCATATGTCATTGCTCCTTCTTGTTGCCTATACTACCTCAGTAATATGCAGGATAATTCGTACGAAAGCGAAGAAACTGCGATGTGTACACGAGGCAAGTACTGCATTATTTCTCAAGCTGGTGGCGTTGAATGTGGGCAGATATCTAGCTACTTGTGAGAAGAGCATGTAGACTAGAGTACACCTGAGTGATCGATATCTACAGACATGATTACTGCTTATGCTACTTTGCTTATTGCTAATTACACTCGTGTTGTGTTTGATTTCGTCAGGAGCTAGACTGCGTGTAACGAAATGAGATCGTCGATGCTGTTAGGGACAGGGACACTCGGAAATAGGAGCTGGCACCTTCGTGAGTAATATCCTTTCGCATCTGTGCAGGTTGTGATCAAACCTGCGTCAACCTTTGTTGTATCACAAATCGTGCAGTCTGCTCCTCCTGTTTGTGTTTCCTTTTTCCAAGCGACGCTGACGTAGTTTGGCTGCTTATTACGCATGTACCATTATCAAGACCGATGAACACGTCTACATCACGCGTCTGTGGCAACCGTAGCCCAGCCGCGGATGATTCATGCGACGAGATTTGACCTTGCGTTAAACTCTCCTGCGAAATCTTCTGCCCGTTATTTTTCGCTCGTTGCTCAATGGTGTCTATCGGTAGGCCTCTTGTCGAACCTTTCTTGACACAAGACAAAGGAAGTCTAGCTTTACTTTTAGGAGGCCATCTTGGCTGTCCCACAATGTTCCTTCGTCTCTCGTCACGAAGTCGCCAGTGATTCACAGACTCCGTTAGTTCACGAACTTTATTCAATAAACTCACGTTCTTTACATGAAATTGTTTCTGATCCTGAATAAGTTTCGCGTTTACGAGAAGTAACGCGCGGCGTTTAGATTCCACTTGCTGCTGGTCATGCTCCATCTGTTGAATTCGGTTCATAAAATGTTTTTTAGCTTTCGAATCGGAGTCATGAGTTTCACGTCGAGGGGAATTACGGCAACAGTAGCACCTAGACTGCTTTGTATGCAGCTCCTTGTTTTCCTTAACCACTTTTTCCAGCTCAGCCACCAGCAGAGTGACTTGCGTACTCAAGTGCGATACTTGCAACAACGTTCCGTCCTCCGTATCGCGCTTTTGCGCATTTTTAGCAAAAAAGTGAGATCGTTCTCTCTCCAGTAAGCCACTTTGGATTCTAGCCTGGTCGTTGTGACTTCCAGCATTGCGATCATCTCTCGCAATTTCAAAGCGTCTGCTTTCATGGCCTTATTCTTAGCCACAAGCCGAGCATTGGACTGGAATTGAGTCTTAATTGTCGACCTCAACGCTAGTTTCTGCTGTTTGTATTGGCTGCACAGTCGTTCTGCCTCATTCATACAACTCTTCAACTCTTCTTCTTTGGCATTCCAGTCTGCATTAGCGACTGAGTACTGCTGCTGATAAAGCATCAGTTTTGTAGCCATTCTCATGTTCTCAGCTTCCAAGTTTTCCCGATCTGTTGTATGCTCAAGTATTTCATTGTGCAGTCTTGACGTAAGCTGCACAATTATTAACGTCAGACTTTTGCACTGCTCTAGTAATCGCTCATTCTGGTACACTAGCGTCTCATTGGCTTTGCGCATTTCAGATAGTTTGTGATCTTGACTTGATATAGCTTGAGTCAAATGGTGCTGCCACTCTACAACACATAGTTTCGCTGCCAAGCAATCTCGCTCAGCAGTCGCAGTCTGTTATTCCAAGACCTGAGCTGCGATATCCTCCTTGAGACACAATTGCCATTCACGCAACTGTTCAGCGTTTGAGTGGAGCCTCGCAATTGTAAAGTCTGACTCGGTCTTACTTTTCTTAAGATTCAATTTTGTAGAATGAAGAACGTACTGCGAGTCAAAATATTTTCTCTCAAAAACCTTTTTGAGTCAAGTCAGGTCGTCAACTTTGTCCAGCAAAATATCAATCTTTGCGCTTGTTTCGCTATCAACTTGGTTTTAGAGCGTGACATTTTCGTATTCCAGGCGAAGCTTAAAGTATCCTTCACAAATGTCTCATTCACCTCACACTGCACAACTGCAGCCAGCACGAGTTCCAGTACGTTCTCCAGCGTCTCGGCACTTTAATCATCAAGTTCTTGAATGTCAAGAGCCAGTGACGTTTCATAAAACCATTCGAGACTATTTACAACAGCTTTCCAGCCTTGTAGATCGCTTAATACCGTGGGAAATCTAAGTAACATCAAATATACGTTAGTGAAAATCTATACAATCGACCGTTTATTCACGTATTATTGATGTTAAATCATCATTTTACGAGATCTAATGGACTCACGCAACATGTAAAAGACGCATCGATACATAGTCTTTTTCTGCACTAATTGCGTAGAAATGTAGCCAACGCACGAGACTGTTTCTCTCATCCTTCATCAATCTCACCGTCGCACCTTTTGGTGCGGCAAGGATTGAATCGGACATTTCCCTGACCATCATTCTGTTTTTCACTTCATTTTAGTATGTGATATATCATAAAAGTATCCATAAATTTTGAATTTTGACGTCCCGCCACACAATTTTTCTTTTCATTTTTAGACAAGGCGCAGTTGCAGTGCGCGCTCTCTCTTACTTCTCTCTCTTCCTCAGCTCTCGTGTTCTCCACCGCACGTCTACGCGTATTAGCGGAGTTTCATCACGTACTTTGGCATTTTGTCTTTGTTTTGTATTAGTTTTGTTATAAAATGGTCGAGAAATGCCTGCGTAATGCCAGTTGTACCTGCAGTATGTGTGCGGGCTTTGATGTCGCCTCATTAATGAGCATTTCCAAGTCTATTTCATCTAATATTCAGTACGGTGACACAGAAGAAGATAAAGAAGAGATCAAAATATCTATTGTGCCGAAACGTGGTGGTGTAGTGAACTCTCCAGCCGCCATAGCCACACAGGCGTTTGTATCGAGCTCACCACCATTACCGACCGTTCATAGTCAGGAACTTACCGTGAAAGACGTGACTATGGACAACGAAGTTGAAGATATAACGATGACAGATAGTTCATCTCTATCGCCAACAAACCATGTGATAATGGCGACGACGTCACCGCCATTACAAGACAACCAGATAAACACAGTGGTCTCAAATTTATTAAATATGGAGGTAGATAGTGCTGCACAAGAAACTGTGACTGTTTCACTTGATACTGTACTGCCGAAGTTAACGGACAAGAATTGGAAAGTAAGGAAAGAAGGCTTTGAAGACCTGAAGCTATTATTTGAACAGCCAAATGTCAAGACGAGTCAAGTGCAAGCAGCTGTGGAGCTATTCCCAAAATTATGCGAGGATTCAAATGCCAGTGCAATGGAAGCAGGGTTTGCAGCGGTGCTGGCATACACTTTAAGTGTAGAGCCATTTAACAAGGAAATTGTGACTGGTGTGATGGCACGGGTGACAGACAAGGGGTTTTCAGCACGACCGGGTATTGTAAAAATTTGCGAAGAGTTGACCGACGCGTTTGTTGCAGCTGGAGCAGCGGAAGACACGACGGTGGCTTTGCTCGAAGGAGCCAAAAATCGCAAGCCAAAGGTGCCGCCAGCATGTCTTTCTTGTATTCTTGAGGCATTAAAAGGATACGGTCCACAAGTGTTGCCATTGCAAACTATTAAAGCAGCACTGCCTAAGCTCATGGAGGGCCCTGTAAAAGCACGTCCGATTGCGATGGGTATCATTGTGGAGATTTTTAGGTGGACTGGTCCGGCGCTCGTTCAGGATATTGTGGCAAACCTTCGTCCGGCCCAGCAAACTGAATTTGAGGGACAGATTAAGGATGTTATTCCTGGTCAGGCAGCACCTACGAAGTTTATCAAAGGCGCTAAGCCCAAACGATCCGTTGCCAGTGGTGCAGGTGAAGGGGCGTCTAGTGGTGCAGCAGGAGCAACCGAGTTCGCACCTGCAGCAATTGATCCTCGTGATTTTGCCGAGACAGTCGATTTACTTGCAAAGCTGCTTAAGACTGAGTTTAAGGCCAAGTTGGCCTTACCGAAGTGGAGCGAAAAGGTGGAAGCACTAAAGATTGTTCTGGAGCTCATAGGCCCCGTACCGAAGCTTGCAAATGGGGATTTTTATGAACTGGTGTCCACGCTAAAGGTACTGGCAAACGACTCAAATGTGAACATTGTGGCTAAATCGATTGAAGTATTTGGTGCGCTAGCGGACGGCTTACGCAAAAACTTTACGCAATATGCTCGAGTGATGTTTCCTGAGTTGCTGCGAAAACTTTCAGACAAGAAGTCGGTGATTTTGAATGCGACAAATAAGACATTGGACTTATTCTTGCAGCATGCAATGACAATTGATATGATGATAGATGACCTGAAGCTAGCATGCGATGCATCAAAGAACAAAGCTCCGCCTGCACGCGTTCAGACGATGTGTTTCTTAACGCGCGCGGTCAAAAACCGCTTTGTGGATTTGAACGACAAGGCTTTGGTTGTGTCTTTTGGAATGATGTTCTCCAAGGGCATTGGCGATTCCGACCCGAAAGTGCGCGAAGCTGGTCAAACATCGTTTATTGCGCTCTTGCAGGCTTCCGCTCAGGCATCGGTGTGGATGAAAAATATAATGGAAGATATAGCGCGCAAGAATATACGAGCATTCAAGGCGATCCAGCTAGGAATAGGAAGTGGAACTCCACTAACGCCCTCTTCTCGTCCTGGTACACAATCCTCTCGCCTTGGCAGTGCTCCACCATCGCGTCCCGGCCGCGCAAGTAGTGCTATTAGCCGCACCAGTGCTTGCAACGTAAAGGCACCGGAACTGGAAGTGATAAACGCGGACATGGCAAGTCCAGCGCCTGGTGGCCACCGTCATCCTCCTTTGAAAAAGCGTGGGTCACCTGCTCGACCCGGAATGAAGCTTAATGCTACCGGCGCTACGTCTGCAAAAGCTGCACCAGCGAAAGGAACTGTGGCAATAGGATCAAGCTCTTCGGCAGGTGGGGGGTGCTAACAAAGACTTCACACCTGTGGCAATCTCTATTAGCGTTGAAGAAGCTGAGGATATCATTGCGGAACTTCAGCTGGAGAACTGGGATGAAATTAAGAAAGGTTTTGCAAGCTCAAAATGGATGGAACGAAAAGAAGCAATTGAGGGATTGGAGAAATATGCTAAAACACACTCAAACATGATGAATGCTAGAGTGATTGAGGCGTTTACGATTTATCTGTCAAAGCATGTAAAGGATTTTAAGGACAGCAATATTAACGTATTAAAGAGTTCGTTCCAGGCTGTGGGAACCTTCGCAGAGACAGCAGCCAGCAAGTTCCCGCGTGGAGTTGTCTGTCATGTTGCTGCTCGTGCTTGTGACAAGATTGGTGACAGGAAGGCGAATGAGGCTGTTCGTAACATGATTATGCAATTTTGTGAAGTAGCAAGTCCATCGTATACAACTGGGTGCATGATCGAGTATATGCCGAAGGTCCGATTACCGCTAGCGCATATTGAGGCACTTTCTGTTTTATTGGATTGCGTAAAGGACTTTGGCGTCTCCGTTTGCAATCCACGCGCTTTGATTGAATTTGCGAAGGGGCCGCAAGGGTTGGAGTCATCAAACCCCAAGGTTCGCAGCGCAGCTATCTCACTATATAGTACAATGTACTCGCAACTTGGACCGTCTTTACTCCCAATTCTCAACCTGGACAGCTGGAAGCCTGCATTGGCTGAGACAATGAAGGATGAGTTTAAAAAGGCAGGCTATGATCCGGCAAGTGCCATGGTAAGTATAAAGCGAAGAGTCAAAAATAAAGATGAAACCGCAATGTCCGCAGATCCAAGTGTCATATTCGGTCGTGTGGATGTAAGTAATCAGCTTACAAAGGAACTATTTGAGAATATGAAAAACGAGGCTGATAAGGGGGCATGGAAGAAGCGTGGAGAGGCTATGGACACCGTCCAAGTAATTTGTGAGGGTGCTGGTTGTGCGATCGAGTTCACACGGCCTGTGCAAGAACTACTTCGCAACCTAAAAGTTCGTTTGAACGACTCAAATGCGAACATGAAGGTGAAAGCTGCAAATGTGATTGCGGTGGTTGCGTCAAGTGTCGGGCCTGATATCGGTAAGATGTCGAAGATGCTTGGTCCAAGCTTGATTGCCGGAGTTGCTGACAATAAGAAGGTAATGCAATCAGCTGCAATCCAAGCTCTGCACAAATGGGTTTGCCATAGAGGCAAGACTTCCTGTATTTGTATGGAAAGTCTTCTGTTGCCTCTTTCGGAGGGCCTTTTGAATACTGTTGGACGAGCAGAATTGTTGGAGTGGGCAGCAGAGCACCTGAAAAATTGCGAGAAGCTTGATTTGCATTGCTTGGTTGTTCCTACTGTTCAGTGTTTGATGGATAAGTCCTTTGACGCGCGTGAGAAAGCGCAACTGTTGCTTATTGAAGTATTAAAATCTGTGGGTAAAGACACTGTACTTACGATGGGGTGTCGCGACATAAAGCCTGCCGCAATGCGGGCTCTTCAGCCTTTGCTTGCCAAAGTATGCGAATTAGCAGAGGCGGGTGGGGCTGTTAGTACTGACGAAGAAGCCTCTTCTATTTCAGGACCTACCAGAACGCCAACGCATTCTCCTGTAACACCATCTGCTGCGGGTTCTGGATCAATCAGCACTGGGATTGGACGTGGTGGAAGTCGCAGAAGGGCAAGTGCATCTGGAGGTGATGGCACTTCAGTAAAGTCACGCCTTGCCCGACCTGCTGTATTGAAGGCTCCTACGACATCGCTTTCGTCTCATTTCGCATATACTCAAAAAGAAATCGCACCATTGCTGAAGATGAGCACCAGCAAACCTGCAAGAATACTTAAAGGGCAGTTTAACCGCTGGCTTTTTGAGGCCACCTCCACAAGTGAAATGAATACGCGCAAGAGTGAAATTGAGGCTGAGTGGAAGCCTTTCTTGTCGCCTGAGTTTCATGCGAAACTCTTTGCTCCGTCATTGGAGAAAGGAATGCTAAGCGCGATGGACGAGTTGACGGCGGTGTGCGTTGTCCATCAAGCAGATGAGGTGATTGCCTCACTCGACCTTATCTTAAAGTGGTGCACCCTTCGTATTGTGGACAACAATGTTCAGGCCCTGGCTAAGCTGTTGGAGTTTTTGGTTAAGCTACTGGACATGTTAAAGGACACAAGATACCAGTTAGATGACGTTGAGGCTGCAATTTTGCTTCCGTACTTACTCCAAGAAAGTGGACAGTCAAAGCCGCGTTTTCGCGTCCGCTTCCGTGATGTGATGAAGCTGGTTATTGATGTGTATAGTCCTGAAAAGTATGTACCTTTTCTAATGGAATGCTTTAATGGTTCGAAGAACATGAAGAGTCGCTGTGAGTGCATTGATCTTGTGGAATTCATTGTGAGTGTGCATGGATACCAAGTTGTTGGCCGAAAATGCATTAAAGATATAGGTAAGTACGTCGTAGCCCACGAGAAGGAGCTTCGTGAGAGTGCGATCAACGCACTAGTATCTGTTTATAGGCGGACCGAGAAAGGAAGTTCGGACAAGTTTTTTCGGTTCGTTGGCATCACTACGCAACAGGGTATTGATTTGCTAAGTGCACGTATAAAACATTTGCCTGTGGTAACTTTTCCAAATGGAAGTGCTGCTGAAGGAAAAGTTGTGACAAAGCCAGAGCTGTTACAGCAACGCTCTCAACGGACTGGGTTCGGATTCAGACGAGCTTCTATTGTTACGACTTTGACGCCGACACATAATAATGTTTCGCGTTCGATGGAGTCACATGCTGAGCCCATTTCTGTGGCCGTGGTGAAGCAATTTCCTGATGGTCATATAGACGATGACATCATCATGAACACAGTAAATGAGGAGGCGGTTGAAGAAATCCCGTCCAGTGCGGCGATCGAAGAGTTGCTATTGCGCCCAATTGAGATGCTTATCAACTCTTCAAAGGAAATTGTTCCCGCTGGTACACCTGCGTACAAGGAAGGCGGGAACGCTCTGAAGGGTTTGTATGCAATCATTAACTGTCCTTCGGACCCGTCAGAAGTCGAGTTTCTGCACTCGTATGTGAACGAGATTGTTTTGGCTCTTTGCGATTGTATACATGGAGCCTTTTACGCAGGTAATGCGGAGAAGAGGCCTGAGATGTACATTCTTGCAATAAGCATCACGACGTTAACCGCGATCTTTAATAGCGAGGCTGTTACTAGTATGCAGCGCTACACTGTGGAACGCGTTTTACTGGAATTGTGCTCAAAAATAATGGACCCGCGTTTGGAAAAGTTCTCTCAAAAGGCTAATTTGCCAGTAACAGAGTTAAGTATGTCACCGGAAGAGAATCGTTATCTCATGGTCTACAAAGCGCTTTACAAGGCTATGCGCAAGCTGACGGAAAGGGCGAAACCTGGTGATGTGTACCCTTCGGTGATTAATCTTCTGCAACGTCTTATGCACAATGATGTTGGTGAGTACAACAAGAACGACGCGTTAAAGCATTTGTTAAAAGAAGATTCTCTTGATCAGCTTGTAGGACGTATTCTGCTGAAGCTGACGAACGTCCAAGCAAAGGCACTTGCCCCATTTGAGGGTATTGACATCTTTGGTGTTCTCATGCAGATGCATGGGTTCTTTTCGACTCTACCGAGGGCTGAAGTCATGATGGTGGATATAGCCAACGACAACATGCAGTCAGCACTAAAGATTATTGCTGAGAGCCTAACAAAGACACGACCGAGCACTTTTGAGGCATCTCTAAAGGACATTCCTTCTACTTCTATGGTGCATCAGATTCTCGAAGATACGGGATATGTTCAATCCCAACTACAGAATGCTGCCGAAACAGAGCTGCGTGTCGGAGAAAACGACACTTGTCTCTCGTCAGCGGCTCGTAATTTGAACCACTATGACGGCGGAAGTGCCGCCACAGGTGGTGCTGCTGCAACAGAAGAAACAATTTCTCGACGTTTGTTTTCGCCACAAGATACTTTCTGTATTGCAGCCCAAAGATCAAGAACGGCTTCATTAGTGCCGTCAGTGGCTGCAAATGCACCAACAACAACCCGTGGACGCAGTTTCACGTCGTTTCATGACTTCGCTGTCAATCGCGGCGCAGCGAGTAGTATGCCACGTACGTCGACGACCAGCGAACAGCTTGAAAATTTGCGGGAGCGACTACAAATGTCCCGTCATTTTAATTAGCTGAGCGCGTACTCACTCATGAGCGTGGCTTGATAGCAGTGATGAGATAGTTGGCGTGCTTATTGGTTTTCTCAAGATTGGCATTACAATCTCGGCTGTCTTGAAGCTGACTCATGACGTATAGTGCATCAATTTTTATGGTGGCGAGCAACGTTAGTATTCCGAAAAACGCCGTTTTCAAGACATCGTGACCCCAACGATCCTGCTTTTAGTACAGCACAACGATCGCAAAATGCAATCAAAAGTAGTTGCTGTATGCTCAAAAGTACCATTATTAAAGAGACTTACCCGTACGTTGTCGGTCATTTTTCTATCGCCAAGAGTTCTTTTACCTTGCTAAGCACAAGCTATCGGTCGTATCTGCAAAGGGATACAAAAAAGTCTATCGTATGTCTCTCGCACTTGTATCAGCATATTTACGTATAATAATGGCAAATGTCAATGCACAACACACATATGGCACACTCTAGTCCCATGGAAAGCGCAATACATTGTTCTGTGACACAACGCCGAGCACATCTGTCATTCCTCGGAGCGATACTGAGTGCATCTGTCATTCTAAGCCCCGGAGCAAGCTATTTCTCTTGGATCATGAGTATGATGATGTCACTATAGCTGGCCACAAATCCATGATGTTTGTTTGATCTACAGTATTGCTCAAGCAAGGAGCGTGAGCATGCAAGTTGTACGTCTCAGTCCGATTCGTGCCTGCAAATTAAGAGGTACGACTCGAAAGCTGAGACGAGGTTACCATGTGGATACAAACATGTCTTTCTTTGAATACCCTGGAGGTAGGGCACGGCTTTTGCAATCTTTGACCAAAGATCGATAGCAAGGCTTTTGGTCATGCTGGACGATGACGTGAAAACCATGGTGTCCTGGAAGCGTGACAACGATTCGTCGTGACGGTTATTGAAATAAAGACAAGAAAGCAAAAACAACAGGTATGACAAATTCAATATAACGAAGACAGTCCTTATATTGTTACAAAGTAGTCGAGGGAGATATCCCCAGGCCCGATATGACATTACGCGTTTAAGATGTTTCAGGATTGCATTGCTTCGACAAAAGAATGGACAACCGAATCGCAGTCTTAACAAGAGGAAATGCAATAGTACTAACACTCGACCGAATCCTTGTTGCCCTCTACTGGCGTGCTCGTAGACGCTGAGATCTTGGATGCTTCATCGAGCGTAACGACTGTATTTTTTTAGTAGCCGAGCTACTGCAGCCTCGCTACTTATGCCTATGTGCAAACTATGTGCAGAGGATGTAGCCAAGCTACTGTAGCAAAGCTACTTATGCACTATGTGCAGAGGAAGACAAGCTCAGAGAGCTTCTACGTCTTAGAGTGCTTAACCCTCCTAGGCTAGCTCGTAAGCTTGTGCCTATTGGTATTAACAACCGAGTCTCAGAGAGACTAGGATTAAAGATACTGATTTCTTAAAAGGAAGAGAACGCTCAAGCTGTAAGGCTTACAGAGCACGTTTGAAACTGTTTATATTATGTTTATCTTCTAACACTAAATATAGAAGCACCTACTCTATACTTAGTGCTAGTCACTATTTACTGGCTCTATAGCCTGTTATTATTATGCTAACATGCATAGTCACTATACTATGAATAAGTATAGTGACCACGTGGCTCTCTGCCACGATGTGACCCTTCGTACTTCAGGTACGGTCACATCACCTACTTTTGTACAGCCACACCACATTGGTGTGGCAGGTGTGTATGTAAAATACATACCCTTGTGTAACCCCGTTACACCCTCCCCCACCAACCCATGGGACCCGACGTACCCCCGAATTTTTTCCCTTTTTTGGGGCATCGATTTAAGCCAAAATATTGTATTTTTCAAGAAGTTTTCAAACAACTCATATTTTCAACTTTTATTTTCTTCCCGTTTTGCTTGCCTCGCAATAAGTGCCTCGCACTTGCAAACAAAGCTTTAGTATTCTGACACTTGCTTCTTGAGCAACTGTGCTTTGCACACACGCTTTCTAGCATCCTTGTGTTATGACACTTGCTCCTTGAGCATACAGTGCATCGCAGTCACGCTAAAGCATTATAGTGTTACGACACTTGCTTATAAGCGTTAAGCGCCAAGCACTTGGTACTATTACCCTTTGTGTGTTTACTAACCCTTGCTTTGAAGCATTTCAGTGTTTAAGCACTTGCTTGTAAGCGATTGAGCATATAAGTGTGTAACACTTGCTCACAAAGCACCGTAATGCTAACACTAGCTTATATATAATGCACATTAGTGCGAACACTAGCTACAATGCACATTAGTGTCTAACACCAGCTTGTGAAGCACCTAAGTGTTCAACACTTGCTTATAAAGCACAATTTTGCTTCGCTTTAGCGTATAAGCACCATAGTATCGAACAGTAGCTAATAAAGCACCATAGTGTGTAACACTAGCTTATCAAGCACCGAAGTGTTCAACACTTACTTATAAAGCACATTTTTGCTAAACACTTGCTTTTAAGGAACCTTCGTGTTCGGCACTCGCTTATAAAGCAACTAAAAGTTTAACACGTGCTTGTACCGCACCTTAGTATTAAACTCTTGCTTCTATAAAGCCTTTAAGTGCTTAAAACACTTGCTTATATAATCCCAAAGTGTTTTACACTTTTGATAAAGCTTCATAGTGTTTCACACTTGCTTATATAAAGCCACACAGTGTTACTTTTGCTTAAAGCACAAAATTATTAACACTTGCTTATATAAAGCCCCAAAGTGTCGTAAACTTGCTTATAAAGCTTTATCATTATTAACGCGTGCTTAATAGCAGCTAGTGGTTCACGCTTGTGGTGAAGCGTTTAAAGAATTGGTAGGCCAGAGGACCCGTAGGTCAAAGACAAGGGGGCCCATGGGGAGGAGCGACGGTAAGGAAAGGGACAGAGAGACGGGGCGCTAAAAAGGGACGAGGGACGACCGTTGGATGAGGAGAATGTACGGTCTCAATGTGCTTCATTCAGAGGAGTCAACCTCGGTTAGTCTGATGGACCGGGGTTCCTCGAGATGAACCCCAGTCTTTTCGAGGTTGACCCTGGTCCCTCGTTGGTAGACCCTGGGCTTTCATTTGTAGACCCTCCGGTCCCTTAACAAGCAGAATCAAGAACCAGGTCTCGGGGTAAGGATAGAGTAAAGATGTTAAAAGATAGGACCATATTAAATACTTCTCAATTTGCGATCTATATAGCACACCTCCGTCGTGCTTCCAAGGTACTTACTAAGTCTACCCGCCTGTTCCGGGAAAGGATACATTTTGGCCCCCGTCGAAGACAGTTGTGTGGTAAGACCCAAGTGCGAATAGAACTGTAGGATACATTCGGCCTGTGGGTTCGTCTGAATAGCACCCCCAAATCGACCCGCTATCGGAAGCAGTCTCCCTACTAGTGGTCCGGGAGCAGTAAAGGCCAGGCGGTTATCACATCTAAGATATCAAGGAAAAGGAAGGAAAAGGCTACGGTGGAGAATCTCCCCTGAAGGATTTGGTTATAAGTCCACCCTCGACTTAGTCGGCCGAGTGGCCACCTACCCGCCTACCGAATGAAGTATACCCGCTCGAGGCACCCCAAGATCGACCACTCTCAAGGCCGGCATCACATCTCAGCCAAGTCCTCCAAAGAGTGCAACCCGTCAGCCGACGGGTACACAAGGTGAGAGAAGGTCTATACGCGGCATCGGGGTACCCCCTCCGACAGTCGGCAGTCCGGCACAGTGAGTGGCTTGGGGTCTCATTACGCAGTTTTGAGAGCCCAATCCACCACGCTTTTCTTTTGATTCAATCTCTGCGCTACCCAGAGCCTGCAGAATGGCAACACATGCCT